CTATATATATATATATATATATATATATAGTTATATATACGAACAAAAATTTGACATATATATGAACTTGGACTGCATAGCATTTATGAACACAATATGAACATAGTAAAAATAACTGCTATACAAAAGAAAATAAATAAAAAACAAGTATGAACATGATATGAACAGCTTGTGAACAATAGTTCCTTCATTATAAACACATTCAGGAGCGATTCTTTGTCAATTGCAGTTTTATACATGCCTTGCATCCACGCCGTTTAAGGTTCACCCTTGTTCATATATGTTTATGATCTTATATGGTTGTTCACCCCTTGTTCATATATGTTTATGATCTTATATGGTTGTTCACCCCTTGTTCATATCGTGTTCACCCCTTGTTCATATCGTATAAAATATATGCACACATAACCCCAACGCTATGAACACCGGGTGCAAACACTTACACAAATATAAAGATTTGGTATCAAGCTTAAAAAATAACACTTGTGTTCATATGATAGAARTAACATGAACACAATGGTTCATGATTCATAAAAGTCSGTAAYATGACAATATGAAAATGGGTCGTGCATGTACTTCCATTTGAAAATGTGAATTAGGTACGTATTTTAATAATTAAAGAAAAAAACTATCAATACAAGATGAATTATAAAAAACACAACACTTCGTAATGAACATAATTTCGATTAAAACGAATCTAAAAAAAATAAAAATCTATTACCAAGACATTCGCTTTGGTTAATTTCTTCAATTCCCGACCATGAACTCCGATTGTCATCATAAATCATTTTAATCTTCTCACTGTTGTCGATTTATTTTCTATTGCATGCATTTATCCATATTAGTTTGATCGATACTTAAAATTTTTACTACCGTGTTTTCTATGTGAATTAAAAACTCATAAAACAATAAACATGGAAGATCAAAATTAAAAAAAATAAAAATATTAATATTATAAATGCATATTTTTGGGGATTTGATGATTTGCAACTCCCCATTAATTGTTTGGGAGTTACATATCAAATCAATTTACTGAAATACCCTTGTAATTAAAATGTGAACGTGACATAAACTCACAAGAAGAATGGAATTTGATTGGTTGCTATGGTTTTCAAAGTTAACACAAAATTGTTGGTTAACATTTGTTCTTCCCCCTATATATATATATATATATATATATATATATAAATGTTCGTAAAACCGTCGTGTTTCCATCTGTTTTATTGTTATTGTTCGTTTCTCATCATTTGTACCTTAGATTGATGGGTTGTTTATTCTTTTACCGGATAAGACATGCTTACACGGTCAGCGGTGGTGGTGTTACCAATTATTTCTTACCGATTCATGTTGCTTATTGATAATCTTACCGATACACAAGCATGGTGATCCTTTTTATTTTAAAAAGCAGTTTAGGTCAGTTAGTAGAATGTTGGCTTGTAACCATACGATAATGGATTCGAGTAGAAACTGTACCAAACCAAATCAATACAACCAACGTGTTACTAGCGATACCAATTAAATTGTATGGTTTTGTCCATCAACTATGGTCGGTATAATACTCAATTTTACTTGTATGGTTTTGTATAAAGGCAGACCTACAAAGGGTCGAGCAGAGTCCCGTACACCTACTCAATCGATTTTTTCAAGTAGAAAGTTTTTAGGGGCATAAAATGTGCACCCATTAAACTTTAAGGAATGCTCCAAGATATTAAAAGAAACATCAACCAAAAAAGTCACTCGAAATCAATCAAAAAACCCAAAAAAACTTGAAGAATAATCCATCAAAATCAATAAATAAATAAATAACTAAAAATTTTATGGAGTATTATGTCATACTAGTGATGTTGTTTATCTACTGTTTGCTAGTCAGTTTTATAAAATTCAAACATAAAACTTTAATAAATTATGTAATTTTAGTTATATATTTAAATTTTAATAATATTTTAAAAGCTATTTCATGCAATATGACCATCTGTTTCTTTATGAGACACACTCATGTCAAAGGCCAAAGGGCTCTTTACTTGACCTTGAATCCAAAGCAACCACCACACCCTCTCGACATCATTACCAACCCCTCCACCACGTCAATAAAACGATAATTCACTTGCATGTATCATCAATAATTCACATGTGAATCAATAAATAATTCAATGTGAAAATCAATATATAAACCCATATAATATATAACATGGGATCACTTCTACATATTTATTTTCAAATCAATTTTTTAAGATTTATTTTAAAGATTCATATATGAATATTCACGTAAAAACATTCACTTCTTGACTTTTCAAAAAATTTAGCCTTTTTATTTGAACCTCTTATGTATTTATATAATTCATCTTTTTATTATTTTTCTTTAATAAAGTAGTGATGTGTAAGCGGTTGATTGGTGGAAGATAATAAGACAAGTGCCTTTTATTTCTATAAAACCATCTCAAACCTTCTACATTCGAAATCACTTAGAAACTTGAAAACCATGGTTTCTCTTCTCAAAAACACTCTTACAATCACCTCCTATTTCATTCTCCTTTCATCCTTTTCACATCTCTCCCATGGAGTCTTCTCCGAAGAGCTTTTCGAAACCATATCCATGAAACGAATGGAGAAAACGACCCACCTTCGTTTCTTCTTCCATGACGTCCACAGCGGTAAAACCCCATCGGCAATCAAGATCGCTGGAACCCCAGATTCTGGTCTCTTTGGGGACACATATATGATGGATAACATGTTGACCGAAGGCCAGGAGGCGGCATCGAGGGTGGTCGGGAAGGCACAAGGATTGTACGCATTTGCTGCACGGAAGGAACCCGCATTGCTTATGGTGGTGAACTTTGAGTTTACCCAAGGAGACTACAATGGGAGTAGTATTAGTGTTCTTGGGAGGAACCCCGTGATGGTGGATGTGCGGGAGATGCCGATCGTTGGCGGCAGTGGGCAGTTTCGGTATGCTAACGGCTACGTCTTGGTGCACACAGTTTGGTTCGATCCTAAGACGACCGATGCCATTGTCGAATACAACGTTTATGTAAAACATTACTAGGGAGATCCGATACTTTGGAGTAAGAAAAAGGATTTGACATCCGGGTTTCATAATTATCGCGTGTTTATGTTTTCTTGACGTTTGGGTTTAAACACAGGTTCAAGCTCTAGAGTCACATCTGATTTGGTCTTTCTTGTACTTTTCTTAAAGTTGTAGTGTAATAAAATCGGATTTAACGGACGCCAACAATTTCTAGGAGTCTTGATGGACCGCATTATAGCACTTAAGTTTATAGTACCATACAATAAAACGTTTTATCTAAAGATGTTGTAATAAGTTTATATACTTAACAAGTATATAAGAACACCTGTAGAAATGTCCAATGAACAAATCTTTTTATATGACATTTTTTTATAAAGCATTTTTTCAAATATTGTCCAATAAAATAGCTAATACGATACTTTCTAATAAAAGTGTCATAAGAAACTTGTTACAATGTCCAAAAACATAATTATAAAGTTAATAGAACACTTTTAGTTAGTACACTTTATTGTTTGATCCTATAAACAATCTTAGTTAGGAGACTTTATTGTTTGATCCTCTAGATTAAGTATTGTACTTTATTAGGATGCTTTATAATTTTATTATAGTAATGACCAGCTTTTCGTTTGATTCTACCTCATAATATATATATATATATATATATATATATATATTTTGGTAAAGCTAGTAATCAGTTTTGATGGAAGAAGATGAGATGATTGAGAATTGAAGGGAAAATGATGTACAATAGATGATGAAAAGGAGAGATGATGATACATTTAGGAGCACATCAATTGGATTGGTTTATACGCAGAATTGAAGTAAGCAAACAAAATATCAACTAAAACACAGAAACCCCCCACTAACTGTACCTTGTAAATTTCCATGCCGATATCGAAAACAATGGTTGATTATGCCAGCAAATAACCAAACACCCATTCTCCTCTTTCATCTTATATCCGTCATATCCATAGTTCTGTAACAATCTTGTAGCCAGCAACATGCCATTGTAGCTCAAAGGAACCCGCCCGAATCCAGCCAGCTCCAGCCGTGGAACCCATTTCTCGAGCTTTTCGTGTCTCACCCTTCTTTCGATCCCTTCGCAAGCGATAATGTTCTTGATTTCCTCCCCAAATAGCATCTTTTCGACTTTTTGGCGTTCTAATGATGCTCGTGGAACAGTAGATTCTAAGCAATCGAATAGTGCTGCGTAGAAGATCAATGCTTCGATTACTCTGTCCATCAAGCTGAATTTGTTATGGTTCGATTCTTGCTCCGTTACCACCATTAGTTTTGGCGAAAGGGTCCAAAGGGCATTCAAAAAGTTCATCATTTTAGCCGAATTGGCTAAAGAAAATGGCGATGATGAAGTCGAATCGGGACTCGGGCTGAAAGCGCTGGTCACGTCTTTCTTGAGGAAATCGCCTAATGTCTGTGAATTCATATGAAGAACCCGCTTTGAAGCCGGGCTTTTTTTGGCCATTTCATCATCGAAAGCCAAAAGGGTGTGAAGTTGAAGAACCGAGCTGATTGCTAGAGCTTCGCCTGATTTATAACGTAAACACTTGATGTCGAGATTGTCCAATCGACTGACGATTGGATTAAACTGAAACGGGATGTCTAATTTCTCCGCCTCTTCATTCAATCGAAGTGCCATTTGTTCTAAAACCTCTTTCTGTTGATGGATCCCAGTAATCCGCAAATGGGGTGGACCTTCTGGGCGCGATCTTAACGATTGAAGAAGATTAATCCACTGTGCAGGCTCCGAAGAACAAAGATCGATAATGTGAACCATCTTTTCGCCTTCCATGGATTCAAGAATCGCTTGATTAGTGATGATATAAGATAGTCTTAAAAAAGGGCAGAGATCGAAGAACAATCTTTTCACCAACATCTCATCAGAAACAGACGTTATCCTTGTGGAATTAATCGCTTTATATAAACCAGGCCATCCTTTAAGCATCCGATTAGCGAGTGCTTCAGTGAAATAAGCAGCGATGCGCTGCATTGTGTCACCATCGGCAGACGCAAGATGGTTAATCTGCTCGAGCCCAATGTTGGCATTCTCGATACTACCAGCAGCCACATGATTAGCACAGGCTACAAGAAGATGAATGAGGTAAAGACCTCTTTCTTCAGATTCCATCTCTCTTAGCCATGGATATGGTGATCCAATTCCAGGTGAAAGCGACATTAACGAGAATAAGTGAAGGGGAGACGAGCTTATCGATGAAGATCCGTCTTCTTGAGCCATTCCTGACATTAAACAGATTTACCAAATAACTGTTGGATTTCGGATTTGGACTGCAAAGAAGGCACAAAAGCACGTTAGATTCGAAGATTTATCAAAATAGATTCAGAAAAGAACTTATATGAAAATTAAAGGAAAGATCATACGACATGAAGTCAAAAGATTATATCCAAGATTCGACAAAAACTCGAACAATTTGAACGAAAATGTAGTTGATGAACATTTATCATCAAATTGTACGATTAAACAGCAAGAAACATTCTATCAAGTAGCAACCAGCGTTCAGAAAGATAAGAAGTCACCGGAATCAACAAAACCCCTCCATCGATTACTAACGAAGGTGAGGGTTCCATGCTTATCGAAGTAGATGAACATTCGAAAAACAAATTTGCATACATCAAAATGGGTTCGATGAAAATACCTGAATCAATTCCGGCAAATCCAATCAAATTCCAAACGGGGTATTGGAATTCACTGGAAACCCATGTAATCCCGCATAACAAAATCCAAAGTTTCACTCACCTATTTCTGTGTTTACTGTCGAAATTATCAAGGGTTTTGCTGGAAAGTGATTGAAAATCCAAAGTGGGTGGGTTTAGAAGGAGTTAAAAGCAGTTTGTCGTAGGGAGGACATATCCAGGGTTAAGAACCTCCGTGCCAAATGAAAGGGGTTGTTTTTGTCGTCATTGCATTGGTTCTTCCTTGGGGACATCACAGGAATATCAATTATGGAGGGATTTGATAGCTTTGTACATGCAACTTGCAATTTCATAATTACTGTTAATTTACTATTTGGTTGGTTTTGATTTTAATTTAATAAAAAATATATTTAATATACATACGTATTTATAATTTAATAAAAAAATATATTTAATATACATACGTAATTTATATCATGTCAAGTTATATATTAAAAATATAAAAAGTAAATTTGTATTTAACAACAACTAGGTAACGGTTAGCCTGTCCATTTTAGATACGCGTTGTGAACTAAATGTTATGATAATTATGTTCTCAATTGTAGCTAATTATCTTACTGCTACATATAAATTTGAACATCTTGTTACAATGCGAGGTTTCCCTTTTTCCCTAATACATTAATTTGATTTGCTTTGTATAATTGTGTTTGCAAAACTGTTCTTTTTCTATCTTATGAAATTACAACATTTGGTTGTGTATATGGTTTTGGAAGTATTATAATTATTTGTCAGATATATAAACTGTCATTCATATTTTTTTGATTAACTTGAATATCCAACCCACTATGCGAGCCAACTAATCCTAGAGTGACCACGTGCTTTGCAGATAGTCCAGAGTCACCACATTTGAATCTCCATGGCCACAAGAAAATTTGTATTCCTTATTAGATTTGAACATGAGACTTCTAGATACTTTTGACCTTTGGAGCCAAACTCAAACCAATCAAGCCCCACCCTTGTGGTTACTGTCATTCATATTCATGCTATCAAAGAAAGAAAATCTTATGAAATCAAATTAATATGTCACTTTCGAAAACATCATTGGTCCCTGTGCTTTGGCTATTTTCTTGGTTTTGTTCCCTAATATCATTAGTTACACTAGTGGTTTGTATTTTGTGTTTGAAAGCCAAAAACCATCCCTTGAGTTAACATCATTACCAGTGCGCACTGTTAAGTAGAGGTATGTGCTCCTCATGTGAGAGGCAATTTGGTCATTTTTTCTTCTTTTTTCTCATAGAAACATTAACTACCACTCATAATCATCCATCGCTACCACCATTAACAAACAATGACCACAACTACCACAAGCAGATCAGATTCATACACACAAGCAAATCAGATTCATGGATGAACACGAGCAAACCAGATTCATATATACATAAGCAAATCATATAAATAAATGAACAACAATAACAACAACTACTACTAAATCAAATTCATACAAAAAAACCTAAATTTGAATCAAAATATGAACAATAAAGACCTTAAACCTAAATCAAAATACGAACAATAAAGACCCTAAATCTAAAAAAAAGGAAAAAAACCCTATAATCAATTTCCTATATGAAGAGTATCTACATCCCACCTAAAATTAATATGGATTTGCATCTTTGAAAACCATCCAGATCTCTCTCTCTCTTGATCTTCCAGAACCATCTACATCTTCAAAAACCATCTGGATCTCTCTATTTTGATCTTTGAAAAGAAGCTGCATCGATAACATTTGTGTAACACCCTGAAATTTTCCAAGACAGAGTAATATGTAAGTTGTTAGGTGAATTGGGTCGCAACTTAAGTCACGTATGTCTTTGGAAGACCCAAGTGTGTGTGCATGACTTTTTGCGTAAGTTTGGTCATCGAGAAGGTCGTGTGAGGAACTGGATTTAAAACCCCAAAAGGGACTCAAAATGAGATGCCACACAACCCTATTCATGCCGCAAGTCGCATGTGGGGTTTGATGGGTTTTAAACCCAGATTCCAAGGTTTTGTCATATGGGGTTTTTCATCTCTTTCATCTCTCTCTCTCACTCGCTTAAGACGATTTTGACATTTTTGTACATGTAAAAAATGTCTTGATTTGAGTCTTCAAATTTTTTCTTATGAACTCTAGCATGTAATGGTGATTATTTTGATGTTATTATATGTTTGGAGTATTTGATTTCATAAAATTTTAGGAAAATGGATATTATTGATTCGTTGGACATTTTGAAATGCAAATCACATGAGTTTTGGCCTTCTAATGACTTGCTTACATTTGGTAAATGTATTTGCATACATTTTTGGTAAATGCATAATGGTTGGATTACTTGACATTCCAAGCTATAAACCATGTGAGTTATGATCATTTGCTCATTTTGAAACATAGATAAAGGGGTAATTGTGATCTTGCCCAACTTATGACCAACTATTTGATGTACTTGAGCATTTTATGCTATAAATACACACATATTTGAGAAATATATACAATTGATATCGTGGGACATTTGAATACAAATCATGTGAGTTTGGTCCCTCCATATGTTATTTCGACAAGTGAGGGTCTATTGACCTATCCAAACTTTAGAGTCACGGTTTGCATAAACGGTTGGCAAATGCACCTATATGACTTATGTTGACTTTTCATGAGATAATTCCATGTGTGTGGACTTTGATGAATTAAATCATGTTGAATGGAGTTTTAGGAGTTTGCCCAACTTTAGTAGTCTAACGTTGATAATTGGATGTTGATTTGCATAAATTATATAATTATTTGGGATTACATGTTTTGGGTGTGTTGATCATCTTTATTGATTCATGTAATTTAGACTGTAATATAGCAGATCCATGGGCATACGAGTCATTTAGTGATATTAAAATGAGGAGCGTTGATGTTCACGTTTTAAGCCTAGTAGAAATGACATTAGGTCATATAAGGTATTGCGGGGATGAACTCGTGTAAAGTTGGACCCTAGGACCATCGGCTTTGATAGTGTAAAACAACTAGAAGAGAAGTAGACCCTCAAGATAATATGAGTTGTGTGGTATAACTAAAGAGCCTTCTACACTAAATATTGGGTCTTGATGTGGAACTCATAGGTTCACTCAGCCCGGTTTTTAATCTAAGGTGAAACTCAATGACATTATTAAGTAACCTACTTTTTTGTTCCACCACATACAATGGAAATAAATCCCCTCATCATCAAAATATGTTATTTGGTATTTTGAAAAGTATTTTGAAAATGGTAACGTCATTTTATACTGAAAACATTCTTTCATATGGGAAAATTTCATTTTTGAACATTCATTCATTTTATGTTTTCATACAGGCGTTACAAAATGCTTGAACTCATGACTAAATTTTAAGTCTTAACACTTTTCTTTGTCAACATGTGCATAAGGGCTTTGTGAAGGCGATACAAACAACACTTGTGAAGAATTTATTGCTAGTTAGTGGCACGTTAATTACTTAACCCTATGGGATGTTTCCATAACGGTTTGGAGATAGAGACCATCATTAGTAATAAATGGTTCTAATCTAGTTCTTCTAAGACTTGGATTTGAAGTTTGTTGACTTTTAAATATGTTTTATAAAAAAAAGTTGTGTAGTTGTGTAGTTTTTAGTCTTTTGTCAAATGTTTTATCTTAGTCGTTATTTTTAGATTTTGGGGTATTACAATTTGCATCTTCAAACACCATCTGGATCTGCATCTTCATCATTATAGGCGGTATATGCAATGAAAAAATTTGCGTTTTAAAACACGAAATAATGAACCACTGTTGTAATTAATATATTTTAGGGACCAAAACCAAAAAGAAATCAAAGCACATGGACTAATCGTACAATTCACTATTTTTATTATAGTAGGAATTGACAAACTGTCAAGCCAGATGGGGTTGAAGAACTCTCAAGTGCGGTATAGGGAAAGTAATTAAACCACTTATTTCGACTAAGAAGAAGAGGCCAATTGGCAAGGGACCAGAAGTTGTGTAGGCATCGTTCGGCCAAGCGAATGGGTATTGGCAACAAAACGATATGGGTATTTCAAGGATTACATATTCTTTGTTGGTATCTTCGTCCAAAAGGCATGATAGTACACACAAACATTACAAAAACAATAAACACGTTACACGTTGTACCCCACAATGGATTATGCAACGCATGTCTACATAAACTTTAACTTTTCCCTTTTTCGATCACATAACATTAGTTTAACCAAAAATACTAATGATTCTTTCAATTTGTCTAGAGGCAAGGCGTTAAACTATGATAATTGTCCTTTTACGAACAATGAAGCATAGGCGATAAAAAGATTCATTTTTTTCATAAAAAAGTTTCGGTATATATTTTGGTATATCCTTTAGTAAATAATTATTTCTTTTTGTTTGTTCTAAATAAACACTATTATTACTAGGGTAAGCATTGAAACCAGATATATGCCTTTGAAACTGGAATAACTTGTTCTGGAACTGGAATCGATGTCCTTGGTTCTGGTTCCTAAAATATGGAACCAATCAGGATTGGTTTTGGTTCCGATTATCATTTTTTTGGAACTGTTAACCGTTAGGTACTCGTCGGGACTGGCTCCAGGACCAGATACCTGGTCCTACTGGATACCCAGAATCGGAACCGACGAACATCTGTTGTTTTTTAATAAAAAATATTTTATACATATATTTAATAAACTAAAATTGAAATTATTAATTTACTTTTCAAAGTTATACTAACTGTCGTTTCCTTATGTAATTATTAGTTTTTATTTTTATGGAATTAGTTTTCACCGTTTATAGTATCAGTTTCTTTACGTTGGCACTTCATAATAGATTAATAGTTACTTTTTTTATAGTATGAAATAATAAAATTTTAAAAAATAGACACTAGTTTCCAGATATAAAGAAACCGGTGTAACCGCTTACATTTCCTTCATTTCAGGAACCGTCGGTTCTAATTCCGGAACTGGTTCCATAAATTTTAGCCGGATACTCGTCTTTGCTCACCCTTAATTA